GGAGAGTTATGAAAAACCCAGCATGGGGCCGCCCCCTTTCAAAATTTTGCCTTTTTGGCCCCCTTTTTTTTTGGTTCTGGGGGGGCAAGCAGGGAATTTTTCATGCCGTTTTGGGAAAAAGTTTCCATGCAAATGGCCGGGGGGGACCCGAGAGGGAAAAGAAAAGTGGTTTTGGCCAAATTTAAATGGGAAAAGGTAAGGGGGGGGGCAAATTAAAAAATTTTCCGGGGGGTTTTTAATAAATTTTTTTTGGTGGGGGGGAAGTTCCCAAAAAGGGGGGGTTCAGTATAAAATTGAAGAATTTTGGGTTTTGGGGGGTTGGGTAGGGGTCATGGGGGGGAAGATTTCCAAGCCCGGGAATTTGGGGAAGCATTTTGGGGCAAAGGGAGGGCCCCAAACCTATGTAAATTATTGTTTTGGCCTACCCCTATAAATTTTTGTTGGCCCAGGGGGGGGAGCACTTTGGGGAAGAAAATGGGGGGTTAAAAGAAGGCAAATTTGGGGGGGGGGAAAAAACACGGGGGCAGGAAAAAAGCCCCCCCCCCCCCCCCCCTCGCTTTGTCCCGATGTTGGTGTTGGTGTGGGGTATCTTGCGTTCGACACGTGTGATGGCGTACATGATTCTGTGAAGTGTACCTCCTGCCCAATATCTCACCCACCGCTTGAGTTTGCAAACAGCGCGATACCAGCTGATGCCCCCCCCCCCCCCCCCGGGGGCCCCCCGCGAATCTAACAAAACGCTGTCGTCAAAAGGAAACAAAGGGTGGCGCCCTTTGGCCGGGAAACAAACTGGAGTTTTACCCCACCCTTCTGGTTTTTGGGGGCGGGAAATTTCCTGACCCCCACCCGTTGGCCGGGAAGGGTTTGGGGGCCCCCCCCAAGGAACCCGAATCCAGCGCAAAAGGGAAAATGCGTAAAAACCATTTCGTTGAAGTCCCTTTATTTTCCCCTCCGAACATGAAGCTTTTTGTAAGTCTCCCCAAATTGCGCCCCTTTTGAAAAATTGAAACAATTTAATCCCCCCTCCCCCAAGGGCACCGCCTTTTTAAAAATTCCGGGGGGTGGGGCCAAGCCCCTTCCCCCCCTTGGACAAAAAGAAA